TGGCAGCTTGCACTTCCATGCCAAGATAACACAGAAAAACCCCTCCCTAACCAATTCTCCACAGCAGACTCAGCCCCTTGGGGGAAACAGGCAGTTTGGGAGACACAGGATTCAGTACCCTCTTCTTGTTCTGTATATTTAGGGTTTTTACTATGATATGCTATGGGGACTGTCTGCTCTGATCATGTCTAATTGGTTTTCTATGTGCTTCTTGAATCTCTGTAAGTATAACTTTCTTTAATTTAGGGATGTTTTCTTCTACAACCCTTTCGAATATCTGTTCAATGCCATTGGCTTCAGAGTCTTCTCCTTCCTGTATGCCTAGAATTCATAGATTTGGTTGTTTCATGTTGTCCCACATTTCCTGAGTAGTCCATTCCTGTGTTTTATCTTTTTTTTTTCATAGTCTCTGCTTAAGGAGTCCAGGTCTTCAACTCTATCATCCATTCATTCTGTTTGTGTGACTGTCGTTTGTTTTTTCTAATTGGTTTATTGAGTCTTTCAGTACCATATTCATTTCCAATTGGATTTTCTTCACTATTTCTATATCTTTAGTGAATTTGCTTTCAAAGTTATGAATTGTTTTTGATATTTCATTAAGCCACATATGTGTATATTTTAGGGCTTCTATCATAAGTTTAAGCCTTTTCTCTTTGAGATGTTTGTGTTTTCTTAAAGTTCTTTGGTCATATTTATGACTGTTCTTTTAAAGCCATTTGGGCATGTGGATATTCTTTGTTGTTTATTTGTCAGACAGAAGAATTTTAGTTCTGTTAATATTGCACATGTAGGTTAGTTACTTTTTGTTCAGGTAGGGAAGACAAATTGATAGGTGTTTCACACTCTTGAAGGGTAGTAGACTGGTCAGAGTCCTGGGTGACCAGGTCTATCTGCCTGATCCAGAGGCTGTGAAGTTGGCAGTGGGGACTGCCTAGGGAGGGACTTATGGATTTATGGTTAGGTGATTAGTTAGTCTAGTTTAGGAAGCTAGTTTTGGAATCTGAGGTGAAGGATTTGGATCCTGCCTGTGAGAGAGGCTGGCAAGGGATGAGTTGGGGGTAGATAAAATAAATGAAATAGAGAGGCACAGGGCAGGAACTGACTTACCAGAACCCTGGCTGAGCAGGTCAGTCTGCTTGATCTGGAGGCTGGGAAGTTGGTGGTCAGGGGACCACCTGGAGAGGGACTTAGAGATGGATGGTAAGGTCTATAGTTAGCCTGGTTTAGGAAGCTAGTCCTGGGATCTGAGGTGAAGTAATTGAAGTCCACTGCTGTCAGAGGCTGAAGGGGACTGGCTTGGGGTGTATGAGAGAAATCGCAAATAATGGGTTTCAAAATGACATTTTTAAACATACATGTCATTATACTTTGCTCTAATTCATCTCTCTATTCCATGACCCTCTCTTGGGTCCCCAAACTCCTCTAGATGGTTCACTTTTCCCCAAATAGTCTTTCCTTTTCCTTTTTTGTCATATATGTACTCTTAATACCACATTTTCCTGAAAATACCCTATCATTTTTCTATTTTTAGATTTTTAAGAATTGTCTATACTAATTTCCATAGTGGCTGTTCAAGTTTGTAATTTCATGAGCAGCTAATAATCGCTCTTTCTCTATTTTCTCCCAGAATTTGTTTTCATTCATTTTCTTGATTATAGCCATTTGGACCTGAGTTAGTGAATCTCAAATCTGGTTTGGTTTATACTTTTTATGGTTAATAATATCAAACATTTTTTCAAATATTTATTACTCATTTGCATTTCTTATTTTAGAACTGTGTATTCAGTTGATTGGCCCACTTGCTGACTGATTTCATTTCTTTTCATTTTTCATTTCTTCATATGTTCTTGACACTAACCTCATGTTTGTTGATAGCTGCAGATATTTTTCCATTCTGTAGGCTGTCTGTTCCCTCTGATAATTACTTTCTCTGCTCTGTGTGTGTGTGTGTGTGTACATGTGCTTGTGAGTGAACACCCTGCAGTGCATGTGTATAGATCAGAGAACAACTTGCAGGGGTTTGTTTTCTTTTTTCACCATGGAAGTAGGTCCTGGGAATTGAAATAAGATGTCAGGTTTAAGAACAATCACATTTCACCCAGAACCATATCGGTGGCCTAAGAATTCTTTAAATTATATGTAATTCCACTTGTCAATTTGAGAGATAATTTATGCTGTTAGTATTAAGCTCATGACATAAAATCTTACACCCACACAAAGCTATTTAAGTAATTGCTAAATCAACTTTAAAATAATCACCAAACATTAAAACTGACTCAAATATTCCTCAACTGGAGAATAGAAGTATTTTTTAGTGTATATACATTGGAATACTGCTCCACAATAAAGATATTCTATTTTAACACGTTCAGGTGGCATACACTTCAAATAAGCAAAAGAAACAGACTCAAAGTCCATGTTTTTCTAAAATATAATGACTGACACTCCAGCAATGGCAAAATTGATCAAGAGAGTTCACTCAGTACCACAGGAAGTGGGTGGCAAAAGTTATAAAAGATAAGTTCAGATGAATTGGTTCAAGTGATTGTGCAGAAAATGCATGAGACACCCTAAACAAAGTTCTTAGAATTACAATTTAAAAAGTGTGCATCGTATTGTATAGAAACTGTGCATTAATTGGAATACCTAAAAATACATCAGAAGTAATACAAAAACACATGTATAATTAAAATAACCATCTAAATCCCTCAGAGTGTTCACTGATTCTTCCTAGGAAAGAGGAAGAAAACTGCAGGTATTCCTGTGGGCAAAGTCTCCTGAGATTGCCAAGTCTCCATAATTGTTATCTGAGCTGCACACAGTAGTTCTAAACACCAACATGACTAAAAATGATGCTGATTCAGAAGGGTTCGCTGTATACCATCATCCACTGCATAGAGTTTACTCATCTGAATGACAGTCACTGTCAGCACGTGCAGCTTTCTTCTCAACTGAAGATTTTCTGTAAGTCTTTAACCATGGTTAAGGAAAAATACTCAGAGATGAAAACTGGATTTACAAAAATTTTTATCAATTTTTCTTCATATATGACAATTTGTAAATTATGTGAGAGATATAATGTCATATTTCCTGTGTAGTAGGTAGAAATTAGTGATTTTTCAATGAAACAGAATGGGAGATCACAAGCTGATCAATATGTATGTTTCTTTCTTCATTTTTCCAAGTGTTAGAGGACATGACAGTCTTTCATCACTACCATGGAAAGAACTACTTTAACTACATATGCAATATCTCATAGCTGACTTTATCATTACAAACTCACTATGCTGAATTAAACAAGTTAAAAAGTTTATGAAGTTAAAAGTTAAAATTTAATAACTATATGACTGCATACAAATGAAATGTTTCACAAAACAGAGTATGGCACCCTAACAACTGGAAACAAAGAGATTAACCAGAATGGCATAGCTGCTGTTTCTGTCTCTCTTGTGACTTTGCTATGCTATGACAGTCATGGAAGAAAGAATGAGCTGAAGAAAATAGACTGCTTTGTCAAAATGAAAATATAGGGCTCAAGAAAGAGTTTTTTGGAGAGAATTCCTTGCAGCAAATTGCAGGAGCAATTCAAACATGTGGAGAAAATCAATGTGTGGAGGAAGAAGCCAGGCACACCTTCAAAACAGACACTGTTATTGGTCTGCAAGGGGGAGGAAATGCAAATTACTGCCAGAAACTTCAAATTTCCCATTCACCTGCAGCTGCAGCTCTGCATGCTAGCTTCCACCTAATCAGACCAGCAGAAAGACCACACTCCCATCCTGAAGACAACACAAATTTAGTGCTCACCTGGTTGTACTCCACACCAGAACTTCGCTGTTTTTGTATTATCTAGTTTGAGTCTCACAATAATACCTCAAGCTAGGTCTGATACATTGTTCATTGTATAGGTGGAAATATGTTCAGAGAAGGTAAGTCAAGACCAAGAAGTCCTAAGTAACGAGTAATGGGTGTGAGTTTAAACTCCATGACCCACCTTCTCTCAGAACTGAATCTACAAGTTAAACTCACTCTTACTACCCCAAGATATTCCACTATATCTACATATTCCATATATCTACATAGTCTATGGTAACTCAATGATTAATTTCATCTGCAGCCTAATCAGTTTATATTTTTAGTCACATTGTCACGATATGGACATTTGGTGATAAACAAGTTTTAAGGGAAAGGACTAAAATATAGTTCAGAGCTCATTAATTCATAAAGGATACTGTTCTAGTTGAAATAATCATGTTTTACTGGTCTCAGTGTGTTTGTTTATTTGTTTTATCTCCAGTGTCTGTGAAATACACAGTAATCAAGACTTCCTCACTATATCATAAATCAGGTACATATTTTCTACTGAAACCTAAATACTAAGTTTCAAGTAAGCAGCAACCAGTAATTATAGATTCTGCTCATTTCAGTTTGATTTTAACTTAGACTCAAATTTAGGTACCACATAGCATAGGTTAAATTTTGTAATGGATTCAAAACAGAGATTGCCAAAAAATAGGGAGTAACATAAGCAAGTTACTCAGCTCTTGTGCTTCATAATTTACATGAAATATCGGTCACCAAATTATAATATAGTTGAAAGGATACAAGAATGCACATCTAAAGATTCTGTCTATAGCAGACATTGGAAAGTAGGCAACTGAAATTGACAACTTTTACTGAGCTCAGAAGTGAATTACTAGAGTGATTCTCACATATTTATTGTTATTAAATGACATCATCTCAGCTTACAAAATATTAAAACTTAAAATCAGGTAAAGGATTCATTAAAAATGTCCCTTCTCAAACGCACATAGCCTGGTGTATAAATAATACAATCTACTTGATTTTTATATCAATGCTTCTTTCTTCACCATCTCTAAATTAAAGTTATTCCTTGATAAAGTATCTCACCTTATGCTTTCTAAATTCTATTAAATTTCTTTACTATTTTATTTCTCTTTCCTCATTATTACATAGAATCTAGAGAGTGCTGGATATCATTGATGGATAACCAGACAGAAGTGACACAGTTCATCCTCCTGGGACTCACTGATGACCCAGGCCTGCAGGTTCCCCTCTTTATCACCTTCCTCCTCATCTACACCATCACCCTGGTTGGGAACCTGGGGATGATCCTGCTGATTCTCTTGGACTATCAGCTCCACACTCCCATGTACTTTTTCCTAGGTAACCTGTCTCTGGTGGATTTCTGTTACTCCTCAACTATCACTCCCATACTCATGGCTGGACTCCTCACAGGTGACACAGTCATCTCCTACAATGATTGTGCTGCTCAGATGTTCTTTTTTGGAGCCTTTGGAAGTGTGGAAAATTACCTGTTGGCCTCAATGTCCTATGATCGCTATGCTGCAGTGTGTAAGCCCCTACACTATGCCACCACCATGACAGCACGTGTTTGTGCATGTCTTTCCGTAGGTTCTTACATATGTGGTTTCCTGAATGCCTCCATCCACACTGTGGACACGTTCAGGCTTTCCTTCTGCAAGTCAAACGTGGTCCATCACTTTTTCTGTGATGTTCCAGCAGTCCTGATTCTCTCTTGCTCTGATAGACATGTTAGCAAGCTGGTTCTTATTTATGCAGTGAGCTTCAATAGCTTTTTTGCCCTCTCAGTTATTGGGACATCCTATGCATTCATTTTTATCACTATTTTAAAGATGCAGTCAGGTGCAGGATATCAGAAGGCTGTGTCCACCTGTGCCTCCCACTTCACTGCCATCACCATTTTCTATGGGACTGGCATTTTCGTGTACCTACAGCCCAGCTCCAGTCACTCCATGGACAATGACAAAATCGCATCTGTGTTCTACACCATGGTCATCCCCATGCTGAACCCTCTGGTCTACGGCCTGAGGAACAAGGAGGTCAAGAATGCATTCAGGAAAGTTTTACTGGAAGCAAAGTAATCACTAGAATTTCATTTTTAATGTGGTACATTCCTCTAAGATCATTTCATTGTATAGAGTCACATTTGTAGACACAAAAAATTAAATTTCTAATAGGACACTCTTCTTTCTGCAAGTCTGTTGTGTTGGAAAAGGAAATATTATGTTCAGGATCATAAGATGTGAATGAGAATGGCTATATTTTTTTATTTTAGTAAACCCTTATGAAAGATATTCATGTGATGCTTTAATGGACAATAGAGTAGTCATCTTTGTATATAGAAAATATGTTGAAATAACTACAACTATGCATATATATTTGCCTTTAATTGGCAACTTATCAGATTAGACTTCAGTAGTTTGACACACTTTAAAAGTTATATGGAGTTTTAATAGCACTTTGTTTTTATTTTTATTTTCACATTTCTTACTTTGGTGATTTGCAGAGCTTGTATCTACATACTTAGTAATAGATCATAGATTCATTTTGTAGTAACAGCATTGAAAAAATGAAACAGTACTGGGATATAATATGCTTTAGTGAAATGAGTGAATTAGATCAAGCTATGCCTTATATGTTAGAAATATGCAATTTTTACTTCAATAATAATCACCTGTACACAACATTTTTACTATGAAGTGAGTACTGGTTCCAAAACTTGAGGGAACTGATGTTGAAAACACTATTTACTTCATGTATCATGTTGTTTTGTTTTGTTTTGGGCTGTATATATGTTGACATTTAAAACCTTTGGTTCTGTGGAATATATCTAGGCAATATATAAACTGTTGTTTCACAGAGCCTGACACTGATATTCAAAGACTGACCTCCACTTTCTAAAGGGAAGATTGATGTTGGCAGTTCCATGCCAGTGTTCGAGGTCTTCATTTCATTTAAGAACTAGAATTAATGATGTAATAAATATGATCTCTCTCTTCAACATTCTGATTTCATTCATTTGGGTTTGTAATAAAAGGAGGGTTACTGGATGATATTGTGCCTCTGAAGAATACATCCATGTAAACCGATGATCAGTAAAATGTTTCTATGAAATTGCTGTAAATTACTACATAAATAAACCCTGCCGTTTCTTCGGGTAAGTGATTTGTTGGGATTTCCTTTTAAATTGTTAAACTATATCTGTAATCTGATATAACAAGTCAATAATTTGAAGGAGTGGATCTTAAATAATGCTCAAAAATATTGTATAGAAAATATATAAGCCAATAAGTGCCATGTATTGTCTTTGTCAAGCATTTGTGATGTGAATGACAATATTGCTCCACACCAGCAGTGCCATTCACATGTGGCCACCAGGGAGCAGCCTCAGGACCTGAATGGATCATCAGGAAACTGAAAAACGACCAGCGGACTCCTGTGGTTTGATTCCTTTACTCTTACTTTTTTAAAAGTTCATACAGGAGTGCTGAAAGCATGGGCAACTTTGCCTTTTTACCCATACTCATTAGAGTTATAGCTGAATATTCATAGAAAAATGAATAATAATAAAGTGGCCAGAATATAATAATTCAAGAAAACATGAGCAAGACGGCATTACCACCACAGTATGCCTTCTTGGGAAACCAAAGTGTCTCCTGAGAAACCAAGAGAGTACCAGCATTCCGAGATAATGCCTCAGCAAACATTTTGTATAAACTTTCTCATGAGACAAGATTCTCCAGGCATACATATTCAAAGTTACAGCTTAATTTACGAAACATATTTTTAAAGTCATAGGAATACTATTTCATAGCCCCGTCACTCACACAAGAGTATCATGTTGTACTACAATGTTTTGGAAGCTACAAAATCTCAGACAATATGAATTTTTCAGATTCATAATGATCTTACTGGTCCACCATCATCTTGTAGTCAATCTGTTTTTTGTCCAAGATGTCATGATGCTATAAATACACAATGGCTATAAATACATAATAGAATATGACTTGGAAATTCAAAATAATGAAAACCTTTCATTTACTACAACAGCAAAGAACCCAGAAGTAATGCTGATAAGTGAAACAAGCCAGGTAGAAACAGAAAAACAAATATCATATGATTTCCCTCATGTAGGAGTACATGAAGTCTGATCTCACAGGAAGAGAAAGTACAATGGTGTATATTAGAATGTTGGGAAGGTAAAGCAGAGCAGATGTGAGGAGAAATTACTTAAAAAGCACAAATACACTGTGTGGTAGCTCATCCCTGCAATCCTAACTTTTGGTCAACTCAGATTTGCTGGGGACAACTTCTTGCTAAGTAATGAATGCCAGTGAGCCTGGGCAATAGTGAGACCCTTTTCTAGGATAAAAGCATAAAGTTATGGTTAAATAGTAAGGAAACAATTAGTATACTGTTACATAGAAGAATGCTCATCATGGATCGTGGATCTTACACTTTAAAACATTTATAAGAGAAGATCATGATGTTCTTACTATGACAATAAGCTAAGTGGTTCAGAGAATGGGAAAACAAAATATGTTGATTTGATCATTGCATAATGTACATGTATGTTGAAACATCATTCTGTAACCTGTAGGTATGTAAAATTGTGGTGGCACACGCCTTTAATCCCAGCACTCAGGAGGCAGAGGCAGATGGATATCTGCCAGTTCAAGGCCAGCCTGGTCTACATAGTGAGTTCCAGGACAGCTGGGGCTACTGAAAGACCCTGTCTCAAAAAAAAAACAAACAAACAAAATCTGTTAAATATAAATATATGGAAATACATAAAAATTGCAGTATTTGTTCATCAAAAACACAAAGTAAACATTGTAAACAAAGTAAAACATTGAGAAATCCTGGGAATAAGACACATGCTAACAATTTATAATCATTTAATAAATGGTATAAATATTAGATGAGCCAAAATTTAATTTGAAATTAGGCTGGATATGGTGGTACACACCTTTTAGCTCAGTACTTGGGATGCAGAAGCAGGAACATCTCTGTGAGATTAAGGCCACCCTGATATATATGGCAAATTCCAGGCCAGTTAGGACTACAGGGAGAGCCTGTCTCAAATAATAATGATAATAATAATAATAATAATAACTAATAAAATATAAAATGGGTCATTTGGAATTAGAATACATAAGTTGGAACTTACCATTATTCAAAATATAGCTTAGGGCTGGATTGATGACTCAGGTTAAAAGCACTGAATGCTCTTCCAGAAGACCCAAGTTTGATTCCCAGCACCCACAGGGCAGCAAATATTCATCCTTAACACCAGCTCCAGGGAATCTGTCAGCCTCTTTTGACCTCCACGGGCACTGCAAGACATGCGTACACTTAAAATGCAGGCAAAATACTCATACACATAAAAATAAATAAATAAATAATTTTTAATTATTTATTTAATAACCACATAATTAGAAGAATCATGTCATTACAACAGCATTGACATATTTAATAACAATTTCCAGAGCTAAGATGCATCTCTTTCATACTGGCTGTAAATTTTTAGGTTTACAGTTGAATTAATACAGTTATACAATATTGTACTCAGTATAAACCCTATAACACATAAAATTAAATAAGGTTTTAACCTTTAAAAACTCATTCAATTTTATGTCTTACAGGGCTTATACAGGTAGATTTCAATGGGAATGTTTTTTACATCTACTAATTATTAAGGAACAAATTTTTGTACTTTGAAGAATTATTATTTTTTAAATTTTTAATTAAATTTAATATCCACTTGATTAAAATAAGAATTTCATTACATCTTTAACATATTCAGTAACACACCCTAGAGCAAGGATACATCTCTTTCAAAAGTGGCTGTAAGTTTTTAGGTTCACAGTTGAATTAATACGGTTATACAATATTGAACTCAGTATAAACCCTGTCAGATATAAAATTGAATGAGTTTTAACCCTTTAAAGAAGATTTCCATTTCATTTTAAAATATGCTGTTTCCTACATTTTTAACCATACTAACACTTAGATGTTTGCACATGTGTCTTTAATCTCTATGTACCTGATGATTACTAGTCACAGTCAGTTATACTCAGATTCTTTGTACCTGAGTATGGATACGAAGTCATCAGGTAAATTTCACTGGTAATGATTAACACCTCTACTATTCAACATGAAGTAAATTTTTATGCTTCCTCCTCAAATATAAGTGTTTTTAAGTAAAATTTGTTGGCTTTTCTGTGTGTATATCATACAGAACATCCCACACAATCTTATTCATCTATATACCCACTTCCCAAATTGCACCCTCCCATAGCCTCCCCCGTCCCACATACTGGAGCCTATATACTCTGATTTCATATTGGGGGCTGGAGAGATTATTCAGTGCTTAAGAGCACTGGATGCTCTTGCAGAGGACACAGGTTCAAATCCCAGCACACACATGGTGGCTAACAACCATGTGTAGCACCAGTTCAAAGGGATCCAACACCCTCTTCTGACTTCCATTGGTATCACAAAACACAGGTGCACTTACATACATGCAGGCTATACACTCACATACATAAAATAAAAATAATAAATAAAAATTTAAAATGGCTTAGAGAATCAAACAGCTTAGAGGATAAAATAAAGGGAAAATGAATAAAAATCTAAAAATGGGGTAAATTGAAGAACTCCAATATTTAAATAAGTATTTAAATATTAAATGGTTAAGACAGTGCCAGGTTGAAGATATTAAAATCCTCCAAAGAATCACACTAATTTTCAAGGCATTTCATTTCTTTCTCTGGATTACATTGTAATAGTTCAAGATAAAGATCAAGTCCAACACTTTTTCTTGTCAGACAGAGAAATAATGATATAATAGTCAATCAGACATGATTCTTCCCATCAAAAAAGAATAAAAGTTAAGAGTTAATTTTTTGTATTAAATGGTTTTTACTGGTTAATACCATTCATTTAATGATGTTTCAGCTTAAGTACTTAATGTCTAATTGCTTTCCTACCTATTCAACCATTTCATTCACACTAGCCTCCTTCTTATTTTTTAAAAATATGTATACAAGTTTTTAATTTTTTATTTTATGTGTATAAG